AACTCAGACCCTGCATAGGCTACATCCATTTGGAAACCTCCTTCTCCTTAATTGGAAATTTCACAAGGACTTCCCCTCAGAGGAGGTTTCCCTATTTCTCCCAGTGCAGAACCAGACAATGTCCATGAATCTCCTTCAGATCTCAAAGGGTTCAGCTCAGTAACTGCCCCAAGGAAAGGTTTTCTCCTTTAAGGGCAAGACGAAGGACTGGAAAAATTTCCCATTTCAAGATAAATGCCTGTCTACTAATTGTGACACTAGAAAGGCTACAGGGAGATGAAGGGCAAGTGCTGGATGGAGAGGAATGTTTCCTTTTCCTGCACTGCATTTCCAGGGCCCCAAGGTACCACTCCAGCTCCAGCCACTCAGCACTTCACACTGGAGGACTTTTCACTGCACCACCACAGCACATTCCCAGTGATTGGGCTTTTCAAAGAGTCCACTGAGCCCATCAAGGAATTGAAATCAATTGAAAGAAATCTTGAAAAGAATGGTTTTTATCCAACCATTCAAAATATCACTTCTGTGTCAAAATTCTTAAGGTCATTTGAGGACAGACATGCCCTATACCAACCTGCTTGTTAAGAGTTCTCCTCTTTGGATGTGCTGGTGATCTTGGCCTTATGAAAATGGAAGACAAAAGAACATATTAAGAGGAAGAAAGAGAAAGGAGGGAATGTGTGTAGCATGAAAGGAGGCAACCCTTCTTAGCATGGTCACTCTGATGAAGGAGGAAATGCAACACAGAAACTAAACAAGATGCAAAGATGATTCATTGTCCTTAAGCTCTCAGTTGCTGGAGTCAGACAGAGCTGGCCAAGCTCTGTCTGAAACACAGCAGTCATTCTTCAACTTGCATCATAACCCCCCAGTTCTGCTGTCTCTCCTTTTGGAGCCAAGTGGCTCCTACAGCCCATCTGAAGCAGCAAGAGCTGCTGAGCTGAGACACGAGTCTCTATGGAGGGCAGCTCCTTTTGTACTGCTGCAAAGCTTGACTTTGCCTGTTTGTGCCTTACACTGGTGACAGTCTCGTGCTCCATGTGGTCAGAGCACTGCTGTCTCCTGAGAATAATGTTACATCTCCTTGCTCTTTCAAGACAAAATGGCTTTTTTACACTCATCTGCTATAGAAAGATATTCAGATTGCACTTTAAAAGCCCTACAGAAGATTTTCAATGTGAATGATACTTCTGTGACTCCTTTATTGTTATCACTCAGACAAGCTTGACAGCTACATTTTCTCACATTTCTCCAAGCCAATATCTTCCCATCAGGTATAGTCCTATTACTCTTCTCTAGCAGCTCGCCTTCTCTGATCTTAAGCCTTGACCTTAATATTAGACATTGATCGGATTATACATCTATACCCCAGAATTTATCTGGGATCTCATTTCACAGTGGAGGTCCAGGCACAGAGAAGTTACATCTGACATTTACAGAAACAACACCCAAATTTCCAGACACCTCTAAAGTAGCCAGTATTTGCCCAAACATGTTAATGTGGCTGCAGAAGTTGACAGTGAAGGATCACAGTGTTCAAAGATCTGCAGCATCCAGACCCATGCAATACAGTTCCCAAATGACACCACAAACATTACAGAGGGAATCAACAGCCAGGTCCAGAAGAGGACCTGTCTTGAGGAGCCTTTCAGCCCTGCCTCCTCTTCCCTACCACCACCACCTCTGCTCTTGGGCCATATGGTGGTGGGTTTGACATTGGGCTGGATCACCACAGATAGGGCCAAATGCTGAATACACAGAGGTTTGCCTAAATACATGGGAGAGCTGACTGTGCAAAATAACCTCACGAGATGGGAAGAGTGAGGTGAACAGCACACTGGAGCAGCAGACACCTTGGCTTACCTCATCTCCTGGGACTCTTGCACATCCAGCTGCAGAGAGCTTTGCAGAGACCCTGCAGCACTGCCAACATCGGGACTTACTGCCCTGCGTATCGGGGGGATCAGAGGGAGACACAGTGATTCCTTCTTCTTATCCCCTTCAGTGGGATACAGCAAGGAAGCCTGCAAAGAGTAGAGTACAATGCTCACATCAAGCATCCAGTCCTGTCCCCATTCATGCCTCAAGAAATTTAGCCATGTTCTGCACTGAAACCTGGCAGGAGAACAGAAATCAGACTGATGGAGCAGCTTGGGCCAGGATTGGGAATGCAAAGGGAAGTGCTGAGGGGGAACCCAGAAACCCTTCAAAGTCCTCTCCTGCTATTGTTACACACTGAAAATGTGAAGTCTGCACCACACACCCTTTGCAAAGACATCCTGAAGCTCAGTGTCCAGCTGAGCTCTTCCTTGGCTCAGCTGCTTCCCTGGGCTCACTTCACAGGGACAGCTCACCAAGCTCTGCTGGCAGCACATCGACTGAAAATCTCCCACACAGGACACAGCTTGGTCTCCTTACCTTACACCTTTTTCCCTTTGACCTCAGCTCCTCTCGTTTTCCAGTGTCATCATCATAGCCACTGCCATTTTTCCCACTCTCCTTCTCAAAGCTGCACATTTCTCTTCTGTTGGAAGACTGAGAGGTTTTCCGGATGGGAGGAAACAGAGTGGAGGGAAGGAGCATAGAAGGAGATCGCCGGAAAGATTTGGAA